TACTCCTACTCCTCCTCCACCTCCTCCACCTCCTCCTCCCGCTACTATTACCACTCCAAACGCTGCTGCTGCTGCTATTGCTACCGTTACTGTAGCGACTACTGCTAGCACCGGAACTGGTAAAGGTACTGGTTCTGGTACGCGTACTCGGATTAGCACTAGTCATTCTATTGTTGCTGCTACAATGAGCTGCTTTAGCGGTGCTCGTTGCGATTATTCCATTTCTGTGATTCTGGTTTTGCTGCTCCTCGTTCCTAATTATTGGTGCTGGTCTCGGCTTCTTGTTGTGCGTCTTTCGTCGCTTGGGCTGCTAGGAGATTCGCTGATTTCAGTTCTCATGAAAACAACCATTGGTGCTAGTACGACCTTGCTTGAGTAGCGGTCCCACTCTTGTCGCTTGTTCCGGCTTGCGCAAGATCCCGGACCTCGAGTACTCTACGTTTCGTCATTGCTTGGATTCGGAGACACTGGAAAAGTTGGAGATGTTGTGAATCCACCTATCATGAAGCGCCCCAGCCATGATCCAAAGATTTTCCGAAAGCCTGCCACCTCACACCCAGAAAGGCCTTGCATCTCACGCCAAGCTCCAGACGTCGCTTGCCCCCGTGGGAAGAAATGGTGCTCTCCGCCAGCTGGCGTCGAAGCAACGCGGATTGCCGCGCCCTGACGCGAAACACGCGCTTTCTGCCAATGCAAGTCGGCAAATATTCGAAGCTTCCCCTACTTGCCTTTCAAGGTTCAGGGATCCATAGAACGCTTCCTCTAGAAGGCGCCAATTCACCGTATGTTCCGTAGAGGTTTTGAACTTGGGTCTCAGTTTTCACTCTTTTGTTTCGATGCAAATATCTGTGTATATATTCATATGTATGTACATGCATGTGTATATGCGAATAAGTAAGCACATACATACATACATACATATATATATATACATATATACATGCATATACACTCACCGGCATGTGTATGTAGGCATCTGTCCATCTGTCTGTCTGTGGATCTAAGTATCTACCTATGCTTGAGTATTCACCTGACCACCTATCCGTCTATCCATGCATCCATCCATCGATCGATTTATCGAGCTATCTATCTAAATCTGTATCTACCCTATACTTGTCTACACCTATCTGTTCGTATCACGCATGTGTAACTATGTAACTTTACATCCATAGGTACCTATCTACAGCTGTCTGAACCATCTAAACCTATCTTTGTCTATCTGTACTATGTAGATCTGTCTGCATATGTTTACGTGTATAGATAAACAGATAGATCGATATATATATATATATACACACACAATATGTGTATATACATACATAGATGAATGCATATCTGCATAGCTTTGTTTCTCTCTCTCTCTCTCCCTCTAGTTATCTACCTGTCTATCTATCCAGGGAGAGCGAAAGCGAGGGAGAGAGAAAGGAGAGAGCGATCGATCGATCCGGGCAGGAGCTTCAGACCCGAAGCCGCACTGGGCTCGGGGCCTCTTCGCGGCAGATGCTTCGCCAAGTGCCATGACATGGGCTTCTAAGGGCTCCGGGGCCCTGCCCGCAAAGGATGGAAGGGTAGTTACAGAGGGCTCTGGTAAGGCTGTTAGGGCTTGAGACTTTGAATAGCTTTCAGTAGAGTTCCTTGATGTTTTCGCTAAATGGGCTTGTCGGTGCTTGTTGATGGATAGCCTGGGGACAAGTTGTTGACCACACTCGACTATATGGCCTCTCTGGTTGAAGTGGCATAACTCCAGCTATCTACTGGCTGGAGTCTTGCTACCTGATCCCGTAACCCGAATAGACCCTATTTCAGCACTAAGAACCCCTGTAAGCCCTACAATGCATGTGTGGACTCTGGAGGGCTAAGCACCGCATGCAGGCTTCTTCTTCGAAGAATCCTGGCTCGGCACAGCCGTGAGTACCTTTGAGCAATGAATCCCAATGGCATGATCGTTGTTGGGATCTAAGGAAACTTTAAGTTCAAGGATCTATGGGCTATACCGCGTCAGTAGAAAACTCTTCTGTAGTGCTCCCGACCAACTCTGGCAGGCTCCAGCACACGTGAAGGCTCCCACACCGGCCCAACAGCCAGGATCCCCTCCTCGAGACCAGCTCCATCAGATCCACCACCTCGCAAGGTGCCGAGCATTCCCGATACATGGGGGTTTCCGAAAATAGGGGACCCCAATATAGTGAATAGCAGGATCCTTATGATAAGGACCGCAAATAAGGTACCCCGAATTTTTGGCAAGTCCCACAATGCGTTCGCACCAGTTGTCACTCTTTAGAATCCGACTCCCTGGACCCTGAACCTTGAAACCCAAAACCCTAAAACCCACTTACAAGCCCTAAAACTGAAACCCTGAATCTGAACCTTAAACCTAAAACCCGAAAACCCTAAAGCCCTAAACCCTGAAACTCCAAAACCCTCCCGTAAGCCCCAGGATCGCCCCCCCCCCCGCACTCGGACCTGCTTCTGGAAATGGTCTGACCTGCAAGCACAGCTAGATCTCAAGTTTCAGGTTTACATTAGGTTACAGTATCTTTATAGTACAGTAACTTAGACTGTAGTATAGCATATGGTACTGTAGTATAGTATGTCACAGTGTAGTAGAGCATATTGTGATATTGCACGCTATTACGAACCTGACTCTGGCGGGTAGCGCGCCCTCGGATGCCCGAACCCCGCTCATGCTCCTGAAGCTTCTTGAGCAATATAGGGGCCTCATTAATTCGAACAGGGTTTTAGGGCAAATTCTAGTATAGATATGATAGGGAACCCGAAGGAATAGTGTTAGTAACGGATCAGGATCGGCTTCTAAATCGGGTAGTCCAGGCGTCAGGCCTTCCGAACCTCCAGTTTAAGGTTTACATTGGGCTATAGTCTAGTATAGTATAGTATAGTCTAATATAGCCTATTGTAGTATAATATGTTCTAGTAGAGCATAGACATGGCTGTACCGCAACAGCGGTAACCAGCATCGTACGAAGGGGTGTGTTCTTGCATTCCTTCTTGCATGAGCTACTTGCATTTTACTTGCGTGTGCAATGACAAATGCCACATACTGCAGTTTACTATACTATGTTACAATATAATTAATTACTGGCCCCAGCAGAACGAGAAGCTGACGTTCACTTGAACCTGAGCGTCCTGTGCACAGCCCTGAACCCGAAATCATAAGTCTACTTGTCTACAGCCCCAGAAAATCCTAGACCCCAAAAGCAGCGTCCTCTTTTCCCACCTGTTGGTGGCTGTACAGTTTCGAGGCTACCCCACAAGCCTTTGATTTGAGACTTCCATCTTTGGGAAGCCTCCTGGCAACGGCCGGCTGAGGCACACGAGCAGTCTGCTGCTTAACGCTAAGCCACCTCTTCGGGAGTCCGGAAGCCCTCAACCTGGACTACTAAGTCTTCAAGCCTCATCCGGTGCTCTCTTGACTCAGCAGCCTCATCCTTAAGCTCAGGAAGCCAGTTACCTCCACTGAGATCTCTGCAAGAGGTCGTCCAGTTCCTGCATGGCACGGATTGTGCTAGCGAGTCCTATGATTCCGGACGAAGGGCCATGAGGAGTTTGGCTTTGTCTCAGCTTCTGAACCGCATGTGGGGGAGGCGCTTCAGGATTTGGGAAGGTCAGGTCTCCGGTGCAGAGCTCCGGGTAATACAGGTGTCTTCCCAATTCAAATTTCGGGCTTCGGGTTGAAAGACGTTCATCCGGAAGCCTGGTGACTTGACCACCTCTGATTCGGGGTTGGCTGCGCTAGGCCTTCAGAGAGAGAGAGAGAGAGAGAGCGGCCTCGAAAGTCAAACTGAATAAGCCGCAGGGGAAGGGTTGAAAGGGTTGCCGTCGTGTGCATATCAGGTTGCCGTTCCACCTGCAGATCTCTAAGGTCTAGTCCTTCTTTTCTTTCTTGTTCTTTGCGGTACGTATGAGTAGGTGCACATGAGTTTTTTGGACGATGCACTCAATGAGTGTATGTGTATACATAACATAACATCACAGATGCGTACATGTACACACATATACACACATACACATGTATGCATGCATACGTATTTGCATACATACATCCAGACATACATACACACTCACTCACTCGCTCACTCATTCATTCATTCATGCCACTCAGTCTGTTCCACTCCATTCCATCTCATTCCATTTCATTTCATTCCAATCAACTCCATCTCATTTCATTCCATTTCATGCCGTTCAATTCCGTTCAATTCCGTTCAATTCCATTCATTCATTCATTCATTCATTCATTCATTCATTCATTCATTCATTCATTGACTCATTCAGCCGTTCATTCATTCATTCATTCATTCATTCATTCATTCATTCATTCATTCATTGACTCATTGACTCATTCAGTCGTTCATTCATTCATTCATTCATTCATTCATTCATTCATTCATGTAGAATTATAGATACATAGACGCATCTACACATAGATACGTAGGCAGGTAAATAGGTAGGTTGGTAGGTAGATCGATAGTTAGATAGTTAGGTAGATAGATAGATAGATACCATAGATACACAAACACACACACATATTTGTATATATATATATATACACATGCTTGGTTTATGTTTGGTCTGGTATGTCAACCAACCCACACCCACCCCCCACCAAGCAAGCGAGCAACAATCTAAACCAACCTACCTAGCTACCCATCTACGACCAAGCGACCTAGCCACCTACGAAGCTGTCAGTCGACCAACCTACCTTGCGACCTTAGCGGCGCAAGAGGGCGACAGACCGACCGACCTACCCACCCTACCCACCCATGCACCTACCGATGCATGCATATGGCGGTTTCCGAAATTAGGGGACCCTGCTATAATACCCTAAACAGTAGCATCCTTATTAAAAGGACTCCAACATGTCGCACCCTTTATTTTCGGAAACTCTCATATAACCCATGCCTGGTTGGCTACCTCGCCCTGACAGGCCTGTAGCTGCTCCAGCGTCGCATCGACATCATCGCCGGTCTCCGGGCCTTACCAGGTGCTGCAATCCTTATAGTAAGGATGCTACTATTTGGGGTATTATATCAGGGTTCAGGGTTTAGGGACCTTGAACGCACCAAGAACCCCGCACCCCTGAATCCCTAGAGCCCCAAACTCCTCGTCATACCGAAATCCCTAAAGTCCGTGCAACTTCGCTCTCGCACCTCCTCTTCCAAGGATTTCGTGGATTTTGAGCTTTTTGGGGACTGCTGTTCGTGCCACTATCATACCTCTTCTCTCTTATTGACTTATTGGTGATGTCTTGAAATCGACATCTAGAGAGCAAGAGAGGGCTCAGCCTCGTGCTTCAGGTACTCATCTAGTGTAGGGGCCTTAACAATTAAGAGTAGGGCTTTGGGGGTTCCTTTTTATAATATGGTATATTATACCCCCAAATCCTATTCCAATTACTAAGGCCCCGAAAAGCCCGATATGTGGATTAGGGTTCAGGGTCTTCAACAGGATTAATAATTATATTCCTTGAGAAGTCTAGCCTAGAGTGCTTAACTACGTCTCTGTCCCCAAAGCGAGTAAGAAAAAAGAAGAGTTCCATCGTTATGGCTTACGAACCCCTGCATAATCTGGGCCTGCGAACACTGAAGCATCATGTGCATGTATACATATATATATATATGTATATATGTATACATACATTAAATATGTATGTACGTATGTTTATGCAATATGCCTGCGAAACACAGTCTTGCTGTTAGTTGTCCCGTACGTTTATGTCTCAGCCGGAACCCTCTACATCACTGCACACGCGAGCTGAAGTGACCTTCCCCTACCAAATGTCCGACCTGTAACAGTAACGCAGGGCCATTAATAATTAGAATAGGGTGTTGGGGCCCATTATGCTATACTTCTAGTAAGGAACCTCCAAAATACTATTGGTAATTATTTTGGTCCCTATGTTAGACCCTACCATTGGTAAGACTGGCGGCGCTTGTCTCGGAGTCGCGGAATGCGCTGTGCAGGATCGGAACTGCCTGGGTTGAGTGCAGAATTAAAAGCTTCTTGTGGTCCCTATACCTAGCGGTTTAGGGTTTAGGGGTTTAGCGTTTAGGGCTTACTACACTATATTTCCTGAAATCCTGCTCCAATTATTAACGGCCGACATCCCGAAGCCCAGCGCAAGCCCCCTCACCTCTCGGTTCCCTCCGTCCTGGACCTTGGCCCACACTGTTGGCAGTATTGAAGACCCGTGGCTTCACAGCTTTGGGACTCTGGGTCGGACTGCTTCGAGGTGCACACTTGTGCAATGAAGGAAAAGGCGTGATGAACTTGGGCTGAGATAAATTAGGTTTCGGTTTCTGATGTTTGCGGTCTGGGATTTGATGTAACAGTCTTAGCGCCCCGCAATAGGTCCGAGCGCGCGCTTGCCGCTTGAACTCGTCGAAGCTCGGCACGATGCCGTTGAACGGGATCAGAGCCGACCGATGTGCCTCCAAGGAGTGTCGGGAAGTGAAATTCGGGTTTAGGGTTTAGGGTTTAGGGTTTAGGGGGGTTCAGAGTTGCAGTTAGGTTGTAGGGCATGTGGAACGCAAGATGCAGGAAATATGAGGAGGGTGCAAGAGCTGATCATCCCACCTGCGAGCTGCTGGCGCTGCCACTTGACGTGCCTGCATTGCAATGCAATGTGGGCTCCTTCCCTTCAAGCCTCTTGTCCGAATGGAGTGAGCATCGGGATCCTGATATATTAAGTCGCTGCACAAGTGTCTTGATTCGTGAGGGGTCGACGCTCAACCTTCTACCCGCCATCCGAATCCAAGCTTCTGTACGAAAAAAAAGGCAACTCCCTAAAACCCCAAACCCCTATAACCCCTATAACCCCTATAAACCCTAAACCCTAAATCCGAAAACCCCCCCTATAAACCCTAAAACCCCAAACCTCTAAAAACCCTAAACCCTAAACTCCTAAACCCTCAAACCCCAAACCCAGTGCCTCCCAGCTGAGCCAGGAGAGGAGCTTCGTCATCTTCGTCCACATCCATTGCCATGACGTCATACGCCAGGGACTGGAAGCTTTCCACGTCGATCACGCCTTTTTGGGGGCGCACGGTTTAGGGTTCAGGCTTTTGGGGTTCGGAGCCTCACAGGTTGGGACGTTCGGGGTTCCAGTGCTTTGGGATTTCGGGTCCAAGATGGAGCAGTTGCAACCGCCGAGTGCAAAGACTTAGACTCGGAATCCGAACTACTCACCCTGAGAGCCTAAAGCAGAAAAACCGAAGCTCGAAAGAAACACAACCTTGGCACATCCCAAACGCCATTCCTACATCGTGCCAGTTTGCGGTGTAGGGAGACCTATGCTCTGGAAAACCCTTTCGACCCAACCGATATCATTGCAAGCCACCTTCCACGGGTGGGGCAGGCGGCGAAACAGCTGGTGCCTTGAAAATCGGCAGCTGGTCAGTGTACAGTTGGGGGCTCATCCACTCTTTTGCAAGATCTACTATGATCTACTTGATTGAATCCGCATTTAACCATGTGCGTCAAGCAGCCAACGGCCCTACTGGCGGTCTTGATGCACATTGTTTAGCGCGAACTCAACACATGCATGCATGCATGTATATATATATATATATAGATATATGCACGTGCGGATGTGTTTTCTGCGAGCATGCACCCCGAAGACATGTGGTACATAATACAACATCAACCGGACAGTTGACATGTCAGGGCTGAGGGCAAAAACACTCAGGTACTCTAAGAGTCCCACAACGTTCCGTGGTGCAAATGACACAAGCCAAGCCGAAATCACAAACTCGTACACAACGTCGAATCTTACACTTACGCATGCGAGCCATGGCAGGAGAAATATCACGTCGAGGACACAAGAAAGCAGATACCATGTGCCAGCGACAATTAAACAGTGACGTGTAGAGACTATATAGCAGTGGTTTCAGATAACGGGTGCAGACAGACAGCAGATGATCCTATTGTAGATGCACATAGCACTCAACTTTTGCAAGCCTTTGGTTGACCACGTGACGTATTGAATTCAAAAAGGAACTGGATGCATGCGAGGCGAGAATTACGAGACTCGAATGAAAGACAGCTACACCATGGAGATCGGCAGAATATGGAGTAATGCTACATAGGAACTATAGACGGCGTATTGTTGCCAGCTAAGGGTTAGAACGCCTGCAGCCTCTGGCTTCTGGAACGTCAGGCTCGGGATCGGTTCCAAAATGTCTCGCAGGGGTCGGCTCTCATGATCTCTGTCGCTGGCCTTCGCTTCGGAGGGCGCTGACGCTTGACCTGCAATTTCTGCGATTGCTTCTGGGCCTCTAACAGTCTAACAGCCCGGTGCAAGGCAGGCTGCCTGCGCGGGCAGCTGTGGGCAGTGCTGCACGTTGAACCGGCGTTGGCGCCTCCCACATCCATAGGGATTGCATCAAAGCAGTGCGAATGACAAGAAGAGCAGTCACCGAACAGGCCCGCGCACCCTCGCACATTCCCAGGTGCAATCTTGACGGAGAAGGGTTTAGCTTGCAGAAGCCGATGATAGCCGAGGTCAACCCCTCAAACAGTGAAAAAGCGAGCACATCCCGATCCTAAACTTGTGCAATCACGCACCCCCCGTTCTGCAAATTTCCCTCACAACGTGGAACCTCGGTCTCATCTTTTGTGTGCCAATGATGGATTGAAACCGAATGCATGGTTTCGATTGTTGCACGTACGGCTTCCCCAGCCTGGTGGTTCTCGAGAAAAGCTTTCAGGTACTTGCGTTGCTTGTGGGCCTCGTGTTGTGTGTGTGTGTCTGTGGTTGTGTGGGTTGTGTCTTTCCAGCTGTGAATGCAATTAAACACTTCTCGAGGATCACTTTGTTGCCAGGCTCAAGTCTCGTGCTTGCTTCGGTTGAAGTGTTCATCTTCTGTGTAATTCTCGTTTGGAGGGCCCAAAACAAGCTCTGTTACACAACCGCGGCTCTCCATGCTAAACTAAACCGATCCTCTGTTCTCCTGAGCTGTGCTTGCAAAACACGAACATTCCACCAGCGTGCTGCTTGCAATATAGCCGCATCGCAACTGTAAGCCACAGTTGCTAGGCCTTTGATTTCGCAGCCGTCGGGGGCCCTTTGGGCGTGGAAGCTCGCAACGCCGCAGGAGCCGAGGGCGCTGAAGCTTCACCTCCAAACTCTTGTGCAATCGCTACTGCCCTGGCCCTGTCATGCAACGGACGTTCGACAGCCTCCCGCAGCACAAGGCTGCAACTTCTTGTCTACTCTACTCTACTTGTCTGAACTGTACCTGTTTCCAGTCGGCCTTGCTTGGGCGCTTATCGAACCAACTGCTGAAAAGCAGACAGCCTGCGCCCGCGGGCAGGGCCGCCCGTTCGCCCGGTGTAGGCGCCTCCCACATCCAAGGTATGAGGCCGAGACGTGTAAGATAAGTATCTTGTAGGGGCCTTAATAATTAAAATGGGGTTTTGGGGTCCCTTATGGTATAACTAGAATAAGGAACCCCAAAACAAATATAGTTAATCATTAAGGCCCTGCATTCAGCCTCAGGCCCAAGAACAGTCACTGAAAGGTCTGTGCAGCCTGGCAAAGCAGGCTTAGCTATTGCAGAAGCCGATGATAGCCGATGCAAAGCCTTAAACACTGAACATCCAAGACTAAATCCCGATCCTAAGCTACCACGTTTAAGCACCACCTCCTCAAACTCCCCAAGAACCTGTAACCTGACATCATCTTTGCTTTGCCAATGATGCCTTGAAACCGAATGCATGGCATCAACTGTTGCACACACGGCTTTACACAACGCATGAGTCAAGCGCTTTGGTGGTTCTCTTTCCTTAGGTTTCGTGTGAGGTTTGCGTGCATCCTGGTTGCGCGTCTGTGCGGCCCGGCGGGTTGCGCCTTTCTATTTCTGAAGGCCACACATTGGTTAAACTTATCGACGACGTCCTGGTTGCCAGGTTCAAGATGCCCTTGCAATGACGCACAGACGTTCTTTGCATCATTCTCGTTTGCACGGTCATTGATTGTTCCGTCACATGCTGCTGGCATGCAAAAGGACGGGTGCTTCTATCACAGCAAAACTCCAGGGACTTGCAACTTGCAACATATACAGCATCAGCCTGCGAAACAGGCTGGCGCCTTGAATGTCACAGCCGTCGGAGGGGGCAAAACCGCAGGCACCTTCCGCTCGAGAGCTAGGCGACGCCGAAGAAAAACTTGCCGCCAACTGTCCCGACTGCATGCTAGTCTGCCCCGTCGCTGGCCTTCGCTGCGGAAGGCGCTGAAGCTTCACCTCCAAACTC